AACTATTCTTTTGAAATATCAGAAAAAACATATCTTGGATGGCGATATAAATATTAACTTACTAGATAATACCAATACTCTAAGAATATATAGAAATATGTCATTGTCAAATAATTTTAGAATAAATAATACTATTTCCTTGGAAAATGCCACTAGGGTATCTACTAAGTCTACAAGTTTAATTGATCATGTCATATCTAGCTACCATACTACCCTGATAAAGAATATTAAAGTTGAAAGTAACTCACTCTCTGATCATAATCGCCTCATATTTCAAATCTGTGATATTGTAAAAATGCATAACCCGTTAATTAATAGAACCATTAATTTCATTGACCATAGAAAATGTACGTCTTTATTTAGGTCAAGAAAGGATTGTGTAGATATTGCAACATTCAGAGATTTAATTGAATTAATTAATCGGGTAATTAATCAGTGTAAAAAGGATGCTCAATATTCCAAAACTATAAGAATAAGAGAAAACAATAATTGGGTTAACCAGGAAATTATTGAACTCATGCAACAGCACGATAAAATTTATAAAAGAAAGGTAAACTCGCCTGGAAATGAACAGCTTTTTTTAGAATTTAAAAAATTAAAGAACCTGATAAACAACAAAATAAAAGCGGCACAAAATCAATATTTTGGTGCAGAGTGGAATAAAGCAGGTGGCAATGTGAGAAAGCAATGGCAATTTATTAACATTTTTTTTTAGTAAACAACCTGTAAACAATGACATTGAATATCTTTTAATCGAAGGTGAACGAACCGAAGATGGTAAAAAAATAGTAAATAAACTAAACTATTATTTTGCTAAGGTAGGCGAGAACATAGTTAGAGACCTAAATGAAGAAATATTCAATATGTATGAGGATGGTGAGGTTGTAATTGATGAGGTGGGAAATGATAATGATAAAAGTGTATATCGTTTGAGCCCCACTAATGTGAATGAGGTCAGTGAAATTATATCGGAACTTCGGAAAAATTCTGCTCCAGGTTTTGGTGGATCGAGTAACTACTATCGATTTACATAATTTAAAAGATTATATTCTCGAGATTCTTACAAATTTACCTAATAAATACAGTTTTTCTGTATATTCCCGCCTGAACTGAAAGTTAGTAAAATCAGTCCTATATTCAAGAGTGGTGAAAAAAATCAAATGAATAATTATAGACCAATTTCAGTTTTGAGTATATTTTCTAAAATTATTGAAAAAATTGTTAAAATAAGGATGGTTTTTTTCATTAAATCTAACTTGGCGATAGACCCGTTCCAGTATGGTTTCATTGAAAAGAGCAACACACTGTCTGCAACTTTTGACTTTGTAAATTATATATCAAAAAACTTAGATGAAAAAAATTTTGTTGTAGCAGTATTCGTAGACCTAAAGAAGGCTTTTGATGTTGTCTCGTTGGATAAACTCCTAAATAAGTTGAACAATTTGGGATTTCGTGGTAATTTTCTCAATGTTATTAAGACTTTTTTAGTAAACAGAGAACAGTTTGTTGTGTCCAATGGGTATTCTAGTGATACTTTGACCAACAGTTATGCTGTACCCCAGGGATCTGTTCTGGGGCCACTTTTATACTCTATATATGTCCTAAACTTGAAAATTTCAAATATACAAGCACATTATTTCACATTTGCCAACGACACTGCTTTAGTCTATTCTGATTTGAATGAAAACCGGTTGGTGAGAGAAATCAATGCAGATCTGGAAAGATATCGTGTGTGGCTTTATGGCAATAAATTAAAAATAAATATCGATAAAACTAAGTACATGATTTTTAGGCCAAAAAATAAATCTACGATTCCTATGAATCTGCAGGTTGATAATATAGTTTTGGAAAGGGTGTCATGCATAAAGAATTTGGGTTTATATATAGATGAATTGTTGAATTGGAAAAAACATATAGAAAACATAATTTTAAAAATAACGTCAATGATACCATACATCTATAGATGCCGAAACTATCTTTCTAATAAGACCAAATTAAATGTTTACAATAGGTATTTCTCATATAAGATATTTAATACCTATTTAGGGAACTTGTTGTACTACAACACTCAGAGAAATTCAAATTAAACAGAATAAAGGGTTAAAAGTTTTATTTAATTATGATATTCCATATAATACGGAAATATTATATAGGGAACTTGGAGTATATGGAATACAAATTATATTAAAGTCTGAACAGAGTAAATAAATGTATAAAATATTGAAAAATCTTCAGAAATGTAATTTTGAAATCGCGCATGTTGATGAGGTTCACAACTACACCACAAGATCAGAGGGTTATGTATATATTTCAAGCACCAGGATAAACATAGGGCTAAACTGTCCTCTTCACTCGGCATCGAGAACATATAATAGTCTACCAAGTGAGATAAAAAATTCAAGTAGCTTAAATATATTTAAAAGATCATTAAGTCTGTTTTTGGCTGATAATTAGTTATATTTATATCTGGCAGATAATAATTATTCAATGCAAAAGTTGACAGGTGAGTATTGGATTGTAGCTTCCACTTGAGTATACTTCAAAACTTGTTAAGTAGCTAAGTTTTTATTTTTAGATTTTCGGTGGGTTTTTGTTTTGTTTTTTTTCTTTCTTTCTTATGGCATATAAATAATGATTGTATTTGTCGGATTAGAGATCATTGAATTGTAACTTCCACTACATCACTGTAATTTTTTAAAAAAATTTGTTACCTTGATACCAGTATTCCACACTGTTTTAGGTATAGAGCTATTAAGATAATTTTAAAATTGTATACTTGTCAATAAAAGATTTTCAAAAAAAAAGTCCCGATTTAATAAGTGTCCCGCTTTTGTCTTGCTTTCAATAAATTCCACTCATCAACTTTTTATTATTTATTTTGAAAACTTTTACGCTAATTGTTTAGAATATTTGGACCAGTACAGCACTCAATATAGACCATATCGGATTTTGCCTCGGATTTTGCTTGGACTTTTTTAAAAAATCTCCTACCTGGGAACAAGTAGCAGAAATCACAAACCAGTCAGAATGAATTTCATCTTTTGAAACTAGTTTTCTGACTGTTTCCAAGCAATGAAATTTGCTCCGACTGGTTTGTGATTTCTGCAGAAACAGACCTAAGTACTGAAAAGTTTTGAGTTTTTTTTTTTTAAATTCCCTGAATGCACCATAATTGAAAATGATTCCTGTATTTTATGAGACTCACTATTGAGTAAGTAGTAAGTCTTACCCTCGGTCTTACCCAACATATTGATGTTGGTAATTTTATTATGAAAGTAAGCTTATTTTTGGGACTGAGCAAAAAACCGAGCAAAAAACTCCCAAAGATCTTAAATCTGTAGAAATTTTAAATTACTTATTTTGATGAAAATAACATTCCTTTGAATAATATTGAGAAATTAGTACACTCGTTAGTACATTAGTATAACTAGGTACATATTATTTATCTGGTACAAATGCTTCTACTAAACAGGTTTTTTCTATGATTAATAAATTGTGGACCACGGAAAAAACCTCGGAAAAAACTAATTTGTCTGTAGAAACTTAAACTAATAAATATAATTTTAAAAGAGTGTTTCAGTTTCTACAATGAACTGTTAAAAAATAAGCCCCTTTTGAAAATAGATTTTTGAGAACTTTGTGACTTTGTCCCACTTTTGGACTTTCAAGATCTGGTCACTTTAGTGTAAGCACATATTTTTCAAGCTGGTTTATTCCTTGGTATTTTCTTATTCATAGGAATTGAAGCATTTGCTTTTACTTCAATCATCTGCTCAACGCCAATGCCTTTACATAGCATCTGCTTGTAGCAAATAGGTACAGTTTTATTCATATCACGGCTATGGTTAATAATAGGTATGTCGCAGTAAGGCGATTTTTAACCACGAAACTGGTAAATATAGTTATTCGGTTCATAATACAATTCAAAGAAGTGCGGATGGAGCTGATTGTATGAAAAGTTCATCTGAAAAAAAAAAAAAAAACAAAAACATAGGTACTTGTTAATAGGCCATAATTGTTCTGTTCGTTTAAAGCAAACTTGCATTTGGCCCCAGACATTGTTTTTAGATGTTTTTAATTTTTTACAGAATATTATTCTTTCCATTTAAATAGGTATTATACGCTTTATCATTACTCAATAATGTTTTTTTTTTCCGAAAAATGGTTTGAACACTTAGCTCTTCTCTCCGTTCGAACATCTACCACATTATGCTTTCCATGTTTATTAAATTTTTATCTGCTAACCAAAGCGATTGTGATATTAAGCCAATAAGAATGGATATTATATATTGATCTGTGTCAAAGGTCCAGAAGAGGATTCATTCAATATTTATAAAATCCAATTTATATAGTTATTTGCGCCAACATTTTTGATCATAAAACAATATTTTGGGATCAAACTAAACTATCTATAAAGAAGAAGCATGATATTTTTTTGAAGCACCTTTACTAAATTAGTACTTAAAGGTGATTATTTGGAATTAGTCCTTTAATTTTATGGTGAAAAAAAAAAATTATTTAATAAATAGTTATGCGCCGACATTTTTCATCATAAAATAGTATTTTGGGATCAAACTAAACTGTCTATAAAGAAGAAACATGATATTTGTGTGAAGCTCCTTTACTAAATCTTTACTAAACCTTTTTTTAGATTTGCTCTGTTTCGTTTAAAAAAATGTTTTAATTCTTATTGAAAAATTCTTGGTTTCTGTGGACCTAAAATGTTATGGACCGGAATCTTTCTCAAAAAACAAAAAAAAAAAAAATGCCGTTTTTATTTGGACCTATAAGTTACCAAATCGTTTTTTTTTTTTTAAATCTAAACATGCTTCATCCACCGATTTTTATTTTTTTATGCCTTCTATTCTTCTATATGAGTTTGTCTTTCTCTCAAAAAAGAAAAAAATCGAAAAATCGGACATACCTATACTTTTCCAGACCCCATATCACCCTTGATACCACCCATTATCTTATATATTTCAACATTGTACTTTACTTACCTGTCGACTTGGTTTGATGTCCGGTATCTCATCAACCGGCTCAATAAACGATTGCTCGTGGATCATATGATCTTTGGGATTGTTCCTTTGATGAATCGAGTAGCCGGTGCCGACGATAGCTCCCATTGTGATCCCGGCAAGCCCCATTTTAAAGACCCCCTTCATTATACTGGAAGCTGAAGAGACCCTGGTGCTCTTGAGACGCAATGACACTACTTTTTGCGGGGGGCACAAGATTTTTAATGAATGTGGGGCACTAAATAAAGTGTTGTGGATAAAGTTTGGTGCTTTTTTACTGAGGAAATTCATTGTATTTTATATTATTTTGAAATTTTTTAAAGAGCAGCACATAACCCAACTTTTAATGAAATTCCTCTGTCAATCTGACAGCTGAGCTGACACTGGGAAAGTTTTGAATTTGAAATTTTGGCGCTGACCACCACGAAATAATTAATTGCATTTGAAAGAAGCCACTTTGATAACATTTCTATTTATTTTCAATGTGCTATGTTATCTTGCTATAGTGCCTTTTGCTAAATAAATAAATACGAGTAAATAAAGAAGTAGTCGAGTGAGGCTGTACTGGCTCTTGCACTTTTCAGTTTGACGCTGTTGCCAGCTCATCAGTCAGTTTTGACAATCAGCTGATATGTTAGGTTATGAGCAAAGTCGAAAGCAAGAAAGTAAAATGTAAATAAATAAATTATTTTTAAAAAACTGGAGAGCAATCAGCAACAGTGAAAGTGGGGTCAATGGTCAAAAATGTTTATAGATATTGTACAAAAGTTATAAAACAGGTTTATAATTATTAGTTCGTCTGAAACAACGACTATGTTTGTGCAATTTATCCACTTTTTAGTGCAAAAATACATTTAGTTGAAGCATATTTTACTTGTTTCATATCCAGGTAAGGAATATTGTGTTATTTGCCTTGTCATTCATTTATAAAACAGTAAAAAAACGGTTTGGAAAGGCTTAAAATGAGTGAAATCTGTATTAATATTGTCAATTATTTAAGTTGTCCATACGAAGCAGGCAAATTAAACTGAAATTCTCATACAATGGCAAAAAAAAATAACATCAATTTGTTCTGCCGAAAATTTCGTAAAAATACCACTTAAGTATAAGCTTATCACAAAGATAAGACTACTAAGGAACAATGTACAGATACTCTTATTCTTATCTTATGACGAAAACCCTCAACATAGTAGTGTTTACATAGTCCATATTGATATTTTAGATTTAAGATGTCCCAAATCTTCAGTAAACTTTCACCAAGCATCCCTATTGACACCACATGCTTCCAATACGTTCATCCATGGAAGGAGTCTTGCAGCATTGCCATAGCGGGATGTTTCCTCTATTGCATTTTCGATTCGTTGAGGATCTACGGAACTGTTTATCTGGTATGTATTGCTACTCAACACTATTAAAAAAAAAGAATATTTTCCTTTCAGATTTCATTGGCATCTCATCATCCTTGGAAATTTGACAACTTGGGCTTGGCCCTTGTATAATAATGACAAGATATGTCAAAGTAGATTTAGGTGTGTTCTACATAATTTCCTAGGTGTCGCGATATCAAAATTCTCTGGTAGACCTGGCCAATCAAATTCGACACATTTTTCAATAATGCAATATATAAATGGTACCTACCTAACTTGATATTTTTTAAAATTTGTCATTGTCAAACTTATTTCATTTTACACATTCTGGCAACTTCGCTTTCTGTTTCATAACCCTGAAATTTAAAAAATATTCTGTCATCAGATGTCGTTATTATGGGAGGTCAACCTGCCAAATTTCCAAGGATGCGATGCTAATAATAACTGAAAGGAAATAGATATATTTGTCTGTCACTACTCACTACATAGTCACATTGATCTGGTTTTTTCGGGTTTTTTTTTTATCAATAAGTACTATTGTTATCAGAAAACAGCAAAAACAGTAACTATTTTTATATTCATTGAGAGCCACACGTTTTGGAAGCACCTACTTAGTTTGTTTTAAAATATGGCCATATTTGGTAAACCCTTGTATACGGAATGTAAAGAGTTGCATATTACATGTAATTCAAAATGTTTCTGGGATCTTCCTAACTCAAGGGATTTACGTTATATTGGTTTAGGACAAGCTGCAAGTTATCTGGTGAGATTTATGTAGAAATTTTAATTTTTTAATTTTGATTAAGTAAATACCATTACCATTACATCTAAAGTATTCTATAATGATAAAAATAATGATATGTTTGTTGGGAAGTTTTTTCAGGTAATGACCAACGTGAAAACAGGGACATTTAAGGGCCATATTCTCCGTAGTTCATAAAGCCTGGCTTAGTGGAAAAGCTCGGCTTTGTCACACAAAAAGCCAAGCGTTTCCACTAAGCCAGGCTTCATGAACTACGGAGAATATGGCCCTAAGTCCCTGTTTGGGTTAGTCGAAGTAGTTGTTTCTGACTGGTCAAGGAAGTTCAATGATATGTTTGTTTATACACGGAAAGAAATTTGGGATACTATTAATCCAGTAGAGTAGTATTACAATCATATTTTTGATCAATATAGCGCCAATCTAAACTTAGATTAATATCGGTAAATGATTCGATTGATTTACTTGTTAGGCTAAAATCTGCTAAAATATATCAAACCATGATAAGTAGCAGCAAATAAGTTCCAATAAATAACAACCAAAATTTGATTATTATTAGCAAAAATAAAATTTAATTTGCCTATGATATTCCTGAATATAATTTATATATTCTTAACTTTAGCTAAGTGTTGAATAGTATCAAGCAATTTTTGGATCAGTTCAAGTTGATTGTAGATAATATTTGCTAAATATATGATTGATTTTAGAAAAAGATATGACGAAAGATAGCAAATTTACGAATAATTAGGATAAAATTTATCAAATAATTTGCAATATTTTGATATTATATATCTAATATTTGAGTGCAACCTATCATATCTTTTGATTATTTGCATTCAATATTTGATTGCTGGCCAATTGATTTTCGTAATTAGCAGTGGTGGTGGGGAAATAGTAACAATAAAATGAGGTTTCGGTTTAATTATTATTTATTTTGAATTCGTTTACAATATTTGAATACTAAATTATTATTATCTCCTACTAACTTAACCTAAATGACATCCTCAAAAGGAATACCATTTATACCTTATAGTTTATAGATAATAAGAAAATAATAACAGCCGTATGCAACATTCTCTTTTAACTTTAAAAGTCAATTGCTTAACAATACAAATGTTTAAAAGTGACAAAATAGCCTAAAAGCGCTTTTAAAATTAAAAGATGATGTTGCATACGGCTATAAGTCTTTAGTGTAAAAGAAAATTAATCAGCTTACAGGAACCAAATTAAAAATATAAAAAAGGACCTCGCAATATTTAAATGGAAATTGGTTACCCGTGATATTTGGATGAAATTTAAATATGTTATTGGGGATGCCGTAAGCAACATTTTTTACCATGGGCACAACCCTGTATATATGACAGGTGAGGCGTGGTTAGCTGTCAAATACTGGAATCTGATATCCAAAAGCAGAGTAACTATGGCAGATTTTGATGAACAAAAAATCTATTTCTACTAAGTCGACCAAGTTAAGTCGAAAAATGTCAACCGTTTTAACACCTGTCAAAACCCTGCGAAACGGCAGCACTCATCTTTTCCAGTTTTCAATATTCTATGTTGTCATTTGACATTTTTAATATATATGTAAATTCTGAATTCAAAAATTGAAAAAAAAATGACAGCTGTCAAAATGTGACGTGCATAAACTTTGTTCAATGTTTTATCACCAATAAACTACCTTAAAACGAGAAAGGACCAGATTAGAGTATTTTTTTCTACTAAAACAAATGACAGGTTTTGACAGTTCTGTCATTTTTTTTTCAATTTTTGAATTTAGAATTTACATATAAGTTAAAAATGTCAAATGACAACATAAAATATTGAAAACTGGAAAAAATGAGTGCTGCCGTTTGGCAAGGTTTTGACAGGTGTTAAAATGGTTGACATTTTTCGACTTAACTTGGTCGACTTAGTAGAAATAGATTTTTTGTTTATCAAAATCTTCCATACTTACTCTGCATTTAGATATAAGATTCCAATATTTGACAGCTAACCACGTCTCACCTGTCATATATACAGGATTGTGCCCATGGTAAAAAATGTTGCTTACGGCATCCCCAATAACATACATACAGCAAAATTGCGTGTAGTGTTGATTATCGTGTCCTAGATGGCGTTAAGATCAAGATTCGCTATTCGAATTTCTTGCATTTGCCTTTAGGCGAAAAATTGGATTGGTTTTCTTCGCTTTTCCTAGCCATACTGATGAGACCTGATATAGGTCGAAACGCGTCTATGGATGGAAAAGCGGAGAAAATTAATCCAAAAACTTTTCTCAAACATATTTAAATTTTATTCAAATATCACGGGTAACCAATTTCCATTTAAATATTGCGGAGTCCTTTTCCTTGTATAAAAATAAAAAGCACAATTCCAAACACCCTATGTTATTAGTAGGTTTTTTTACAAAAAAACAGATGAAATGTTCGTTTCTACTGGAAATTTCAATTTCTCTCCCATAAAGAAACAAATATCACAAATATCACTCACAAAACTCAATAATTTATTATTGCCAGTTAGCACTGCGTGGCACTACGAGTACGGGTGTGAGAGTACGAAAAAATAAACAAAGACAACTTAGACAAGTTTTTTCTGTGGACCGGGTGCTGCGTGCACTACACATAAACAGGAGACGTTCTTCCTTCCACAAAACACCACACACTAAAATATTTTCAAATGAAAAATAACTCAAATAGCCAAAACCTTTAAAAAAACTTATAGGTATTTGTTTGATTTACTCCTTATTTTATAGATTTAGCCAAATAATGGCTCGATTCTAGAAGAGTTTTATTAATTTAGTCAAATATTTGATAGTCGTAGCAAAAATTGGATAGAAATAGTTATATATTTGATTGTTTTCAATTTACTGTTTTTTTTTCTGTTTTCTAAATTTCAGTAAATTGTATAAATAACTTAATCCAGACAGGAATAGATTAATTTAAAATATCATAGATATTAAGCATTTATTTTATTGATCCCATCAAAACCATAGATCAAAAGTAAATTAATGCCTTTATTATTCTGTGTTAAGACCTAAAATATTTTTAATCAATGTACCTAGTAGTTCATTCCCAATTCATTTGATTTGGAAATGTATAGATCTGTGAAATATGTAAGAAATTATTTCACTATGATGCTTGTTGAGATAACTTTGATGGAACTTATTCTACCAGACACTAGGAATCTCAATTTCTCAAATTGATCTATGAGATTTAGCAGTTTAAGCATAAAAACAAGAAAATTGTATCTATTGACATTAATTTCAATTTGATGTTATTAATCGTGAGCCAAATTAGCAGATTAATCTTAAAACACTAATATTTGTCAGTTTTTTTCTTGTTTTATTCCATTTTAGATTAAATTAATTTATTTGGCATAGATTATAGTATTTCTTATTTCAATAAGTCGATTTGATTCATTTTATCAAAGCATTTATTTCCATGTAAATACACTATTTTACAATTTATACTTTAAATAAGCCTTTGATTATTGAACTGAGTATTTTGAACCTTTGAAAGATAACACTTCAACCCTTTTTTCAAATAAGAATTCCCAAAGATTATGAAGATTTAATTTTAAAATTTAATTGATCATATTCCAATAATCCTTTAAAAAAAAATAGAATTTCATATTTTTTATGTACCATCGACACCAACTGGGACAGCATCATATTAGCTCTTGTACTATTACCTATATGATTGTTAGTGTCAAATATTTGTCAAACTATGAATAAAATGAATTCTACTATCAGAATTAGTCCAGGAGATTATTATGAATTATTTTTGTCTCAGATACTTTTCTTGAAAATGGTACATATTATCTGCAACTATTTAGGTATATAAAAAAATGTATCATAATTATGATTTTCTTTTAGATTTTCTAAATTTATAGTTACTTTTATATTTTTAATAGAGGTTCTTGTCGAGGTTCTGGTACGAATTAAACAATGTGAAAAACTCTGAAGGTTCTATTCTACAAGCTTGAAATCTTGAAATAAAAACTGCCAAATCTTCTTTTGTTATCTTGACAAACGTTCTGTCCACCTGGTCAAATGTATAACGTCCAACTCTCATATAATAATATGCAAATACATTACATTTTTTTGAATTATATTAAATCTCGTATTAAATTCAGTCACAACTTTTTGTTCCTCATACTTACCCTATCTTATTTTCATTAAGAGGACGTGCCTCTACATTTAAACAATCGTGTTTTTTGATAGGGCCTTCTCTAGTTTTGTTATTACAATAATTATCCTTCA